CGGGGCTCCGCGATGCTGCGGGCGAGGTGGACTGGCCTGTTTCGCCTGAGACATCCTCGAAACCTCTGGGCTCGGAGAGGGAGGAGACAGGAGTGAGGAGGGATCAGACCCAAACGAACCACTTGATTCCACTTCTGTGGTCGACTTGTGCTCTGGGTGGTGTCTGAGCTCGCGAATGTCGCACGTGGGGTAGTCCAGACCGTTTCGCCTGAGAAATCCTCGCATTCCTGTCCTGGGCTCCCATCCTCGAGAATCTGGGTTCCGAGGTCCGAGGGGGAGGAGGAGTCTGACCCGAACGAACCATTTGAATCCACTTCTGTGGTCGAATTGTGCTCTGGGAAGGGTCTGGGTGCCGCCCTTGACATCCTCGGAACTCTGAGCTCCCAGATACCGCGCGCGAAGTGGTCCAGCCCGTTTTGCCTGAGACATCCTCGCAATTCGGGGCTCCGGGATGCTGCGCGCGAGGTGGTCTGGCGCGTCTTGCCTGGGACTTCCTCGCAACTCCGGGCTCCTTGAAGATGTATGCGGGGTGGTCCAGCTCGTTTCGCTTGAGACATCCTCGCAGCTCTGGGCTTTCAGAATCTGTCCGCGAGGTGGTCTGGCGCGCTTCGCTCGAACCATCCTCGCAACGGAGCTCCGAGATGCTGCGCGAGAGGGTTTTTTCCTTGAGACATCCTCGACCCATCGGGGCTCCGAGAGGAAAAACAACGCGAGGAGGGGCCAGACCCAACTGAGCCATTTGACTACACGTCGGTTGTCGCCTTGTGCTCTGGGAGAACTCTGGGCGCCCCCGACCCGACGGAGGGGGGTAGCTTGGCGCTGAGGCGCGAGCACGATTCCTTTGTACATTGCATTGCAAGGGCTGTGCAGGACAGAGCCACGCTGGAGCACGTCGTGGCGATGCCACGGCTGGGGCGCGGCAGGCTGGGAGGAGGCAGGATGGGGGGGGGAGAAAAGGGAAGAGGAAATAACTCCGAGATGCTGCGCGAGAAGAGTAATGGAGGAGGGAGACGGGACCAGGCTCAAACGCTACCTTTTTGAGGGCATCCCTGACGAGGGTGCCTCCTGGAAGCGGCATTGAAAATGCGAAGTATCCCAGGCATCGTGGAGGAAACGGAGAAGAGGAGGGAAGAGGAGGAGGAGGATGAGGAGCAGGAGGAGGAGGAGGAGGAGGAAAAGCAGGAGGAGCAGGAGGAGGAGGAGGAGGAAAAGCAGGAGGAGCAGGAGGAGCAGGCGGAAAAAGGAGGACGAGGATGACGATGATGACGATGAGGATGAGGAGGAGGAGGAGGGGGGGAAGAGGAAGAGGACCAAAAAGACGGGGAGGACGAAAAGGAGGTGGAGGAGCAGTATAAGTAATGCAAGGGCGAGGAGGAGAACGATGAGGATGATGATGAGGATGATGAGGAGGACAAGGAGAAGGAGGATTATGATGAGGAGGGTGGGGAGAAGACGAGGAGGAAAAAGACGGGGAGGACGAGGAGGAGGGGGAGGAGGAGTATAAGGAATGCAATGAGGAGGAGGAGGAGGAGGAGGAGGAGGAGGAGGAGGAGGAGGAGGAGGAGGAGGATCAGGAGGAGGCGGCGGAGGCGGAGGCGGAGGAGGAGAAGGAGGACGAGGAGCAGAGAAAGAAGGATGAGGAGGAGCACTGCGAAGCGGAGGAGGACGAGGAGCACGAGGAGGAGTACGAGGAATATAAGGAGGAGCGCGGCGAGCAGGAAAAATAGAAGGACGAGGCTGATGACGAGGTAGAGGGTAAAAAGGAAGAGGAGGAGGAAGAAGAAGAAGAATAAGAAGAAGAAGAAGAAGAAGAAGAAGATAACGACGAGGAGTAACTGTCAGGAGCATGAGGATTTCGTGTGAGGAGGAGGCGAGGCGAGGCGAGCGCGCGAGTTCGGTCCGGCGGGACCGGCCCTCATAGGGCGGCGCGGGGGGGCCGGAGCCCTCAGGAGACGTGTGAGGAGGAGGACGAGGAGGAGTGAGATGAGGAGACACAGGAGGATGACGAGGAGGAAGAGGACGAGGTGGAGGAGGAGACGAGCGTAAGAAAAGGTCTAATCTGGTGCACTCTACCGGGGTCCGCCACTCGCAAATGAAGCCGAAAGAGTGGGCGAAGCCTCACGGATGAAGCAGGATACCTGGGAGGACGCAACGGCGCGCGACGACAAAGTAGCCGAAGGATAGGAACCCAACGAACGGGGAGACTCCAGATGAAGTCGCTCTTGCGGCCACTTTTGCTGCACAGGCTGCTTGGCTACGCCAGAAGTCGCCGAGGTCCAGTGTGGGGGAATGCAGCGAACATGACCTCTGCCAACAGGAATCCACATATGATCATCCTGTAGCGCATCATGCAGCCGATCGCGCCGAGTTCGTGGCAAGGCGGAAGCGTCGTCACCTGCAACGTCGCGCCAATATAATAGCAGACCAGGGCCCTCTTCATCGAGAGCGGCTTCGCCAAACAAGTGGCTATCAGTAGGCATAGACCGATGGCCGAAGCGTACAAGAGGCAGATCGCACTCCTGGCACTCCGTCTCGCAATACATGTCGAACAGATCACCTTCGTAGCTCTTGCCATCGAGCTCGCTGCGACGGCCATCTGACTCGCAGTCCTTGCAATCCAGCGCCAGACCACCATCTGGAGCGGTAGCCCGTTCACAGTCAGCAGCGGCAGCACAAGCGAAAATGTCAGGAGCGATATGACCAGCCGCGCGCAGATGCCATTGATTATCCTCATCCCCCCTCTCTTCCCACCTGCATGCCAGGATCCAATACCTTCGAAGCAACCGGATGGGGGGGGGGGGGAACGGCAAGCCAGTGAAACGTCGAACCCGACTCATCCTCCCTCCCCGAGGGCGCGCCCTGCAAATCCTGGGGGGAGACGGGGAGGAGGAGGAGGAGGAGGAGGAGGAGGAGGCGGAGGAGGAGGCTCCCGCAGCGCGAGCCTCCGTCAAGCGTCAACGTGAAGATGTGGCAGAATCGACGGCCGCCACCGCGGGCGCATGCAGGCAAGAGCCGGCACGCCGACACGGTACGCATGCGCGGCCCGTCGCCCAGCACCTCCGTGCAATGGACATCGAGAGTCTCGACCAAGCAAAATCCAAGCAAACTCCCAAACAACAAGTTGACCCCAAAAAACCCTCACACCAAAACGAAAGCGGATGTCCATTTTAGTCGCCCTCCCTGCCCCTTCTGGGGCCATCCCTACAGACGACCCCGTTCTCTGACCCCCAGACAAACCCAAATCGAGACTCTGGGCCACACCACCTGAAACGCCTTGAACGAGGAGGACGGACATCAGAACCAGCCGAAACAAGGCCACGAACTTCAACACACACTCTTGGCGTGGAGGATCAGGCTCAGGATAATGGAGATCAGGAACGCGAGCGTCACCCGCTGGATGCCGGGAAGCGTCGTCGCCACGAGAACCATCATAAATGTGAGGTCCGTGGGGAACACCACCATAAATGTCTTGAACGAACACATGGAAATCATAACTAGCCAGAGCAAAAACATCAGCTTCATCACGCACTTGGCGTGGAGGATCAGGCTCAACAGGTCGAACCTCAGGAACGCGAGCAGCACCCGCAGGGCGACGGCGACGGCGCCTAGGGCGTCGGCGGTGTCCAGGCAGGTCGCCAGGGCGAGCAGGAGAACAATTTCAAATACCAGGTGGGCCCAACGCCTGCGGCCTGCGGGCAGCAGCATCTTCGAGGCCACCAGATGGCCGAGAGCTCCCAGTAGCCAGAATCGGCAGAGAGCGCGGAGCAGCCGAAGCACGAATATTTGACGTGTCATCAGTTTGCGTCGCACTCGGAATCGGACTGGAAGTCTGAGTAGACGCAGTAGCCAAAGAGCCCTGCACACGAGAGCACCTCTGAGGACGAGAGGAGAAGACCGGCCAGCAGCGGCGGAGCTGCCCGTGCCTGGCCGCGTTCGCGGCGGAGCTGCGCCTGCAGCAGCACCAGTGCATACGCGGCCACGGGTACGCCTCCGTCGCACGGACAGCAGCGCTTCTGGACCCGCCCTCGGCATCGAACCACACGACGGGGCAGTTTTTAATACACAGGATTTTTAAACATATAGGATTTGTATTCCATGACTAATTTTCGTGAATAAGTTTATGCATGAACTCATCGTTGTTTTTCATACTAAATCCCTGCATGTTTAATACATGATCCGCACGCGGAGCATGTATTAGAAACGGCACTGGACGATCACCAGGTGCAAAGAGACCCGCATGGCGGCCAGACCGAGGCGGACCGGGAGAGCGAAGAACAGCAACGTGAGCCCGCCGACATGGCGCGCGCGGCCCACCGTAGCGCATCGGGCAGGCCTGGCCTGAGCCAAAATGGCTACGGAGGAGGAGTAGGAGGAGGAGGAGGGGGAGGAGGACCAGGATAATCAGGATGAGGCGAATCACGAGGAGGATCAGGAGGAGGAGGAGGAAGAGAAGAGAAGGGGGATGAGGAGGAGGAGATGCAGTGCAAGGGGCAGGGCGAGGGCGAGGAGGAGAACTGTGAGGATGCGGGGGGAGGAGGAGGACGACGACGACGACGATCACAAAAAAGGCTAGACGACAACGCCGAGGGCGGAGGCGGATGAGAGGCAGGAGAACGCGCGAACACTCTTTGGGAGCCACCTCGGCTCAAACAACGCTGTTTGGGGATACCGGACTCTGGCTACAGTTTGACGGTGCTACAGTCGGGGCGTTGACCTGAAGAACCCTAAGTAAGGAACGAGGCCCCTTTGTCCCGTAGGTTAAACTTCGAGTTCGCCTGGAAAACCTTAGGAACCCCCAAGGCAAACTGCAAAACAATCAAGGAACACCGAGCCCCTCCCCAACGGAAAAGGTTCCTTCTTCGGCGCCCCAACTGTAGGCCCCCAATCGAGCCTCCACAGCCCCGAAACACGATGCAGAAGATGCGTGTCGAGTTTTGTCGTGACGCCAGGGTCTGAGTGGACGGCGACGGCTGCCCATTCGAAAGAGACGAGCATGGCCCCGCCTCGTCCTCGTCCGCTGGCGACGCCGACGCGGGCGGCGCCGGGTCCGCCAGCGTCCTCTTCACGGCCGCCTCGCAGCAGCTCCTGCCGCACAGCGGGGGAGAGCCCCGAAAGAGGGGCCTCGAGGGAGGGGGCGGGGCATGCGGCCGACCAGCCCCCACGTCGGAGACGAGGAAGACGTGGATCTTTCGACTGCGACTCGCAGCTTCGACTCGCAGCCTTCCCCCGCGACGATCAATCAAGCTCGGCCCTGCCGCCCCTCCTCCCCGACCAAGTCTGCACTGGCCAGGGATGCGAAACCCTCGGGGGCTAAGGGGGGGGAGAGTAGGCTTCATTATCCGCGGCACGCGGCCAGCGGCGCGCTCGAGGGGGGGATGCGAGATGGGCGGCTTCCGACCCTGAGATCCGACGTTGGAAACAAAAGTGCAACATCGCAAAAACTCACGCCCGGAACCCCGGACCCCATCTTTCTGCGCCCTCTTGTCGAGCCAGAACCGATCTGCGAGGGTCCCAGGGCCCGAAGTGGAGCGAAGGCACCTGTTGTGAAAAAAGTGCAACGCCAGGATCTCAGGGTAAGCAGGCGCGGGAGGCCTCTGCGGAGGCCAGGGGCTTCGCAAAGCCCTCCCGGGCTTCTGGAGCGAAACCGACGGACCTGGACCCGCAAAACTGCCGGCCGCGACGCCCTCTCGCGACCCGAGAACGCCCAATTCATCGACGCCGGGGCAGGAAGTCTATCAACCTCCGAGGGGTTCAGGGGGGGGGTGCTTATTACCAGCCTCGAACGTATCCCTATCCCTAAGATTGACACGCCAAAAGGCGATGACAATCTTAGGGATGCGCCCTCAAAAAATAAGGGAATCCCTGAGATTGGCATCGTGATGAGGAGATGCCCAGCATAGGGATAGGGATATGTTCCAGGCTGGTTTGCTTATCCGCGGCACGCGGCCAGCGGCGCGCACGGGGGGGGCGGCTGCGAGCTGGGCGGCTCTCGACGCAGGCGCGGACGAAGGCCTCCACGAAGGCCCGGGGCCTCGCAGAGAGCCCTCCCCGGCTCCTCTGGAGTTACCAGCCTGGAACATATCCCTATCCCTATGCTGGGCATCTCCTCATCACGATGCCAATCCTAGTGATTCCCTTCTTTTTGAGGGCGCATCCCTAAGATCGTCATCGCCTTCTGGCGTGCCAATCTTAGGGATAGGGACACGCTCGAGGCTGGTAAGCGACGGCCCCCCCCCCCCCCGCCGGGGGCCCTCCCAAGAGGGGCAGGCCCCCTCCGCCTGCTCGGCAAGCCCCCCCGCCGCCGCCCCCCCCCCCGCCGCGCCGCACGCCCCATGTGGTGCGCGCCGCAGGCCCGCGCCGAAGAGAGGAGCGAAGGCGTATGCCGCTCCGGGCGAGCGAGCACGCCGATCGGCCGAAGCCTGGCGCCCGCAAGCTGGGGGAGACAAGAAGGTAATGCGGGATGGCGATTAAGAAAACAAAAAGGGGGAGAGAACGATGAAACAAATAGTTTTCTGTTATGTCTGCACAATTTTCTGACTGGAGGAGAACGATTAAAAAGAATAGTTTTCCAGCCCGCGGCCGGTTTTTTCTAATCGTCATCCCGGGCGCCGCCGCGTGAACACGACCCCGGGTCATTTATTAATCGTCATCCTCCATTACCGATGCCGCTACTCCCCGGACCTCTCCCGGGGTGCGTTCTGACCAGGAGTTCGAGGGGACTGCAGCGGTGGCAACGAGGGCTTCCGAAGAGGCCCCAGAGGGGGGGAAAACGTAGAGGTATGGGCACCTGTTCCTCCTCTGAGCCAGCGGGCGGCCTGGCGGCGCCTCATAGAAGCTGAAGAGAGCAATCGCGCGGAGTCACCGCGACTTCGCGGGCCGGCAGGCCCGCCGGCGAAACGACGGAGGCCTGCGCGAGCCGCCCGCGCCCACGGCGCCGCGAGCAGTAGGTCGGGCGTGTCCTCCTGCAGGTGGATTTGGGACGAAAAATGAAACAATAGTCAAAAAATACTCCAACAGTCTTTCAAAATTGGACAAGAATCGCCCCCCGACTATTTTTGGACTATTTTTGAAAATTCCTCCTGTAGAGGGACAGGCCCGACTCAACGCGAGCAGATCGCGGGCGGAGCCCTCGACCCCACCTGAGCACGGAGCTCTTCTCACGCCGGGCCGATCGCGCGAGGGAAGCCAAGACGTCTGAAAAACGGCGCGGCGTGGAGAGTCGAGGACTTCGGCCACGGCGCCGCAGTGGGGCTGATGACGCCCGCGGCCACCCCCATGTCACAGCAACGGGCTCCATGATCGCGCGGCCACTGATCAGCACGGCTCGCATGGCGCCGGCAGCAGCCGGCGCAGGCCGCCCCCGTCTCTCCAGGAGATGGCGCGTCGCGCGGCCACGCGCCAGGTGCTGGAAGGCGGCCGGGCGCCTGGCGATCTCGCGGGGCCCCCGCCTGCCCCAGGCTTCCCGCAGTGCGCGCGCGGCCGTGGCGCCAGCCGTCTGGGGCCGCCTCGATGCCGCTGCAGGCCTCGATGCCAGCGCCCACCTGCAGCAGCTGCAGTGCAGCTCTGCCAGGCTGCGGAGAGCGGAGGGGCGGTCGGGCCGAAGCGCTGGCCGCGCCCAGCGGCCATGGCGCCCGCTGACTCGCGCCACGAGTCCACCGGGAGCCTTCTGCCCTGCTGCGGCAACTCACGGGAGCCTCCCATACTATCGTGTTGGCTCTTGCGTATTGATGCCGATCGATGCGAAGTCCACGCTAATCGAGACTAAACTGGCGCCACCTCATCGATTCTCACACTCTAATCGACGCTAGTGCACTCTCAGGACGGAGTCACGAGGATGTAGAAGGCTCCCATGGTTTGCCACCGAAGGCGACGGCACCAGCGGAAAGCCCCCACGGCCTGCCGCATGTGCCGCGAGCGCCGTCACCGCCGGCGCATCCAGACGCCAACGCGGCGGCAGTGCGCCGAAGACGCTCTTCGCGGACGCGCGCAGACCCGCCGCGGCGCACACGGCCTCTCTCGCGGCCGCGCGCAGGCCTGCGAGCTCGCGGGCAGGCGGCCGCCCGCAAAGCGGCGCCGTGGAGGCCAGCTGCCGTGCCCGCTGCAACGCCCCGCAAGCAGCCGCCCTCGAAGGTGAGCGGCAAGCGGCCGCTGCGGGCAGGCCGCGTGGACGCACCTCGCAGCCGTGCCGCCGTGACCGCGCTTCGTGTGGCTCTGCCCGCCGTGGCTGCGAGCCCCGCGTACCAGATGCTGCCGGGGCTCGCCAGGAATGTGCGCAGCGAGCCAGCGCCTGCACGCGGCGGCGCAGCCGGTCCTCCAGCCTGCTGGCTGCCGTTGTCCACCGCCAAGGCAGCAAAGCCAAGGCAAGCACTGCGAGGGGGCAGCCGGGCAGCAGGCCCCCCGACGTCTCCAGAGGTGGTGCTGGGAGACCTCCTAGGTCCCCGGAGCCGCCAAGGGCCCCGGAGGCCTCCAGAGACAAACATTCTTCCAAATAAATCGGAAACGCGTGGTGTGGATCAGTAGGGTCCCTGGTCCTCGCTGCGCCAGAGAGAGCCAAAGCGAACGCAGAGGGTGCCAAGAGAGCCCCACAACGGCCCGAGAGAGCCGCGAGTCTGCCCAAGGCGGACCATCGACGACCCCAGATGCTGTCACGAGCCCGCGGACGGCCCAGGACCATCCAAGAAGCTCTCAAGCTTGCCCAAACGGCCGCCAAGACGCCCACGACAGGGTCCACGAGGACCCCGAAGAGGGCCCCGAGAGACCAAAAATACTCCAATCTTGTAGGTTCTGACAAGATGTCGAACTACTCGCGCTTTCGAGCTTCATGGCCCCCATGACGGCCCAACAGACCCCCAAGATCGCACCGAGACGGCCCAGGAGACCCCCAAGAGTCCCACAAGACGGCGCAATGAGATCCCAAGAGGCCGCCAATACACCCCAAGACGGCCCAAGAGGGGCCCAAGGCGGTCCAAGAGTACCTCAAGACGGCCCGAGAACCCCAAAGGGGTCCCAAGAGGCCTGAATACGGTTCTAGAAGGCTCCGACTCTTCCCAAAAGGGCCCCAAGACGGCCCACAAGACACCCCTGGAGGCCGCCAAAATGCCCAAGGACGGCCCCAGGAAGACTCCCCAAATGGCCTTTAGAGGACAAAGGCATGGATTTCCTCGCCAGTGAGACAGCAGCGCGCGTTGGCAATCTCCGACTCGCGCAGCTCAATGGATTGCACACACGAGTCAAACATGTACATGCGTGTACACACATACACACATATATAATACATAGATACGTATGCATACATACGTACATACATACATACATACATACAAACATACAGTCATACATGCATACATACATGTATTCATACATACATACGTACGTATGTGAATCCATACATACACTCACACACACACCTACAGATATGCATGCATGCATGCATACATCCACTCATCCATGCATACATGCATGCTAGCATACCTTGCACACACACAAACAAGCATACATCCATACATATGCACACACATACACACATACACACATGCACACATACACACATACACACATACACACATACATACATACATTCGTACATACGTACATACATACATACATACATACATACATGCATACGTTCATATATACATTCATACATTCATACATTCATTCATACATACATACATACATACACACCTACATACATATAACATCGGCCATACATGCACACATACATACATACACGCAAACATACACGCAAACATACATGCACACATGCGCACACACATGCATACACATAGACAGACCTACACAGACCCATAGGTACAACCATACCCACATCTGCATACACATGTGTCCATACATACATACATACATACATACATCTGCACATGCATACTTACATACGTACGTGCACATACATACATACATACATACAGACAGACAGACAGACAGACAAACAGACATACAAACATACATACATTCACACATGCACATACGTACAGACATACACACATATGTGCATGCACACACGCATACATGCATGCATGTACACCTACACCCATACATGCATACACAGAAAGCAGACACATCATACTCATACTACATACATACATGAATGCATGCATACATAATGGCCTCCGTGCCCTACTCTGGGGCCGTGCTGTGCAGTTCTTCGTGATATCCTCCTCTGCCTTTCCTTCCAGTGGCCGCTCGCTCGTATCCGTCCCGTCGGCCCTGTGGGCAGGTGCAGCAGGGCGCAGTCGGATCCAATACTTTACGGCAAAGGTGCGGCGTGGCGGCCGGCTTCAAAGCGAGCAGCAAGGGGCAGGTGGAAAAAGAGGAGGCCTGCGGGGGACACTCCGCCTCCGTAAACAGCCCTCGAGATGACAGGGGCAGCGCAGGAAAAAACACAAAATACAACCACCCGCATTTCCCAACTCCTCTTCTACATCCCGGCCCCCACCACCGTGTTCGCAAGATTGCGGCGTTTGAATAAGCGCCTCAGTGTGCGATTCCGCTGCGAGAGTCAGAACCAAAATCGTAGTGAACATCATTATGCGTGCGAGGCCTGGCGTGACGGTAAAGATCTTCCGCCTGGACCGCGACGGGATGGCGACTGGGCCTGGACCGCGACGGGATGGCGACTGTGACGGTAAAGTTCTGCCTGGACCGCGACGGGATGGCGCCTGGACCGCCAAGATATTTCGAGGATGGCGACTGGGAAATAGCAGAGAATGGCAGAATTATTTAGGGAAGCGTGGCAGCACTAACTGGATCGCCGAACTCCTGCGTCTTACCAACTGCAGACAACGGAGCGCAGGCGATGCAACATAGTGCCAAATAATGAAATATTATACATCACCTCCAGCGCCACACCACGCACTTCCGTGCAACACGATGCGGGCCCCGTCAATATCAGGCTGAAACACCACGTGCTTTTCCAGGCATTGTCGGAGCAGGGAGTTCATGTAGAATATGTGCGTTTCTTGTCAGACATCTACAGTGCCCAATGGGGCAGCGTCAATGGAAGTGAAGCGTTCGACATTACGCGCGGCGTCAAGCAAGGAGACGTTTTGTCTTCATTGCTCTTTAACGCCAGCTTGGAGCACGCAATTCGGAAGTTCAAGCTGCGTGCTCGGCAGTGCGGCGTCGACGTTGGAGGCGTCAGCTTGTTTAGCAATATACGGTACGCCGACGACATTTTACTATATGCGCGTTCTGCAGCAGAGGTTTGTCGCATGCTGGACATCCTTTCGGAAGAATTGTCAGCATGCGGCCTGTCATTGAATGCAGACAAAACGCGAATATTTACTAACGACGCTGTTTCCAATGCCGCAGAGCCCACCATTCTGCAGCTTGCCGGTTGCCAGTTGCCGGTTATGACGTCCCAGGTGTTTCACAAGTATTTAGGTAAGAAATTCGGGGGCGACTTGCGCAATAGGTCAGAGTGCAATGTGAACTACCGCATGGAGTGCGCATGGGGGAAGTTCCATTCCCAGAAGGCAGTACTTTTGAACAGATCTATATATTTGCGCCTTCGTTTGAAGCTTTTCGACGCGATTGTTACGCCCACGGCTGTTTACGGTCTTTCGACAACAGCCATGACAGCACAGCAGCGGGCGCGAGTTGTATCGACGCGCTCAAAAATGCTCCGCCGGATAGTTGGTCTCAGCAAGCTTTCCCACGAAAGTTGGGAGGAAGCGGGGCGACGCACCAAGCAGAAAGTGACCGTTGCTTTGAAGATTTTTCCTGTGTCGAACTGGCTTGTCGTGTTGGATCGCTCAATGTGGCGCCTCGTGGCGCGACTCGCCACCGGCGGCTCGCAAGAATGGCCGGCGCAAGTTCTACGGTGGCGTCCGGACGGCATCAGACGCCGAGGGCGGCCACGTCGAAGATGGACAGATGCCGTCGATTCATTTCTGCAACAAGAGCACGGCACGAATTTAATGAATGTGATTCGCAGCCAGGAGCCTTTCCCTTGGCAGCGGATGGAAAAGCATTTTCTAGATTTCATGAAGAGCGACTGATGTATACTACTATGTATAATTTATTGTTGCCCTCCCTGTCCACTACGTTTCTCTTGCATGCGCGTTTTGTTGCCGTAGTGTCTCACGCCCTCCGGCTCCGCTTGCGGAGCGAGGTGCCTCCATAGGCCCCTCGACCGGACTTGACTTGACTTGGATGCCTGCTGCAACTAATTTTATCTAGTAATGCTGCCGATGCGACGCGGGTCTCTTCAACAAGAGGCAGGTGCCTGCTGGGAATGACACTCTCGAGTGGGACGCTGCCGATACGTAGCTCCATAACAGCATCCGTATGGTTCGTCCAACAGAGCCTCAACCTCCCTACACAATTTCGTGCAATACGGTGCGGCCGCTGCCCCAAGGCATAGGTGCCTGTTGAAACACGCACGTGCTCCCCTCATCCTCATCATCCTCTGCTGTCTCTGATCCTCGTCCCGCTCATCCTCTCCCTCATTTGCGCAATCAGCACGATCATAACCTCCCTCATCCTCATAAGATTCTTCTTCGTCCTCGCATCATCGTCTTCATCCTCTTTCTCCACCCCCCCACATTACATAACTGCTTCGGAACCAAAAGATACTGACACCGCTACGCCCCAGACCTCTCCCGGGGCGCGTTCTGACCATACTGTCGGGGCGAATCCAGCCGTGGCGAGGAGGGCTTCCCAAAAGGCCCCCAAGGGCGTACCCATCGGTCGGAAGAAGTGGGTAGAAACATAGAGTAGGAAGGCGTTGGAAATAGATCGGGTTTCCGCCCCGCCTCCTGAAGAGGAGGAAAGAAGGAAAACCACTCGACTCTTGAAGTAGGAGGGCGCTGAAAGTAGATTGGAATCTGGGAATCCAAAAATACCTACTTTCAACGACCGAGGGGTAAACTTTGGACGCCCGAAATGGGTACCGAAAACATGGGTACGATGCCCAACAGCAAATGCTGTCCCAAACCAACAGCGGCCGCTGTTGGGCAGGCGGCCTCCTGTCTCGAATGGACACAGGCCGCGGCGGCGTGGACAGCGGATCTTGTTCAAAATGAACAAGAACTGCTGTTGGGCATAGTACCCATTCTTTCGGTACCCATTTCGGGCGTCCAGACCCAAGGGCGTAAACGAGTCAAGGGCAGCTGCACCGGCACATCCAAACGTTGCAGCAAGGAGGCGCGAGGAGGCTGCAAAAGCCCCTTGGACGCTCGTGGCACAGCTCTTCGGGCGGGGCTGGCCATCGGAACGGGCTCAGGATGCACCAGAGAGGCAAGGGTGCAAGGGCACCCTCGGGAAAGCTAACCATCCTCGTCGTCGATGTCGACTGTGCCTCGTCCTCATCCTCACCTGATCTTCTCATCCTCGTCCCCATCCCCAAACAGGGCAGTTGTTTTTTTTATACTTTTTGATATAGGATTTCATACATGATAATTTATGAATATATTTATGCACGAACTCATCGTTGTTTTTAATACCAAATCCTTGCACTTTAATACATGATCCGCACGCGGAGCATGTATTAAAGACGGCACTGTACCCATCCTTGTCGATCGAAAGCTACACTTTCATCATCGGGCCTTCTCCGTTCTCCTCCTCCTCCTCCTCCTCCTCCTCCTCCTCCTCCTCCTCCTCCTCCTCCTCCTCCTCCTCCCCCCCCGCCTCCTCCCCCTCCTCCTCCTCCTCCTCCTCCTCCTCCTCCTCCCTCCTCCTCCTCCCTCCTCCTCCTCCTCCTCCTCCTCCTCCGTCATCCGTGTCGATCCCCTCCTCCTCCTCCTCCTCCTCCTCCCCTCCTCCTCTCCTCCGCGTGCCCGCGGGCCGGGGTCGGCTCGCTCCGGAAGAAGCGCCCCATGGCGTCGCCCTGCGGGGCCCAGTTCCCCGAGATCTGCGGGGTCAAGGTGGGGGGGGAGGGGGGGGCAGGAGGGGGGCAGGGGGGCGAGTCGAGGGGGGCAAGAAGGAGGGGGGGCAGGGGGGCATGGAGGGGGCGGGGGGGGGGCGGGGGGGGGAAGGGGCAAGGAGGGGGCAAGGAGGGGGGGGAGGAGGGGGGGGGGCGGAGTTGGAGCAGGGAAGGGCAGGGGGGGGGGGAGGGAGGGGGGGCGTCTAGGGGGGGGCGGGAGGGGGTAGGGGGGTGCCGGCTGCCCTCGCTCCTCCCCTTCCCCGTCCTCGTAAATCCCACCCCGCCCGCCCTCCCCTCCAGCCCCCCCCCGGTTTTCCTCCCTCCCTTCCAAGCCCCGCTCCTCCCCCCCCCCTGCCCCCCCGCCCCCTCACACGAGAAAACAGCACGGCACCACGAATTAGACTGTGTCTCTGGTTCGGGGGCCCCGCAGCACATCAAGGGAGAACACCAGGACAACACGAGGTACACGGCATCTCTGGCTCGAGAGCCAGCCGCTTCTTCCCCATTCTCCCCTTCCTGCCGCTTCTCCCTTCTCCCCCACCCTTTCCTCCGACGTACTTGCAGATTCGCCCCTGCCCAAATGAATGGAGGAAAAGGAGGAGGAACCTCGTACGCCGTGTTCCTGGTCTGGTGGACCAGGTCGGCAGGGCTTCCCCGGCCAGCCAGGGGACGAACTGCGGCTTGATAGGCCCCGGCAAACGAATCTGGTGGGCTAGCAGCTGTGTTGGACAGCCTGGGCTCTCGACCCCGTCCATGAGGAGTTGAGGAGCCCAATGACGTCATGACATCTGCGCCGCAGATTCTGATCACCAGGTGGAGCGACGCGTCATACAAGATATGACTCGTGTCAGACCGCATGCCGAGAGG